TGATTGTTGCATTTGCTGTGCAGATGTCTTTGTATTTCATGTGACCATTTTCTTTTTTTTTTCCCTTCAGTTCTTGGGTTTATTTCTGTGCCATTAGTACTTTTTTTGGAAAAACATCCTTTTGTATTTATTTTTGGGCAAAATGAAAGCTGCCGACTTTGTGTTAGGTATGTTCAGCCCATGTAGGAAATCACAGAACTATGACGCAAAGATGATTAGTGGTGTTCCTGTTCAACAATAACTTCATTAAATATTCAAAGCTTTAGTTATATTTGTAAAGCATAGTTTAGGCATCATAGTTAATTTTTTTAACTGTCATGTGCTAAGACAGAACACACATCTACATGCTCTCTGCTCGTCTTGATAAACATCTGTCTTATTCTGGTAACAAGTCATTTGCCATCATTACTTTTACTTAATTGCAGTTGGAATGATGCTCATGTCTTTGACGAGTACTCTTTCCACATTGGACCTTATAGATTATTTCTTCTTCAATCCTTGGAAAGCTGCTGTGACACTGTATCTTTGCTGGTGCCGTATTGCTCTGCTCCTTGTGACAGCATTCTTCTACTAGAGATCTATCAGTATTTCCGTGCTCCTTAGATAATCATGAAAACTGCTTTTTAGTTTTGGTTACATGTGTTTGTTTGTTTTGTATGCAGGTGTGCATGTGTGAGAACATGTGTGACAGATCTGTGACAGGGTCAGAGGACAACTTAAGGAGACTTGTTATGTTTTTTGTGACAGGATTCTATTTTTTTTTTTTTAACAGTGGAGCCATCTTGCTGACTGTGAATGCTGTTTTAGGAAGTGTGTGACTTTTTCAGCAGACCCGGGACCTTACTGTTCCAAGCTATGAAAAGATGTTTATGTATGTGCACAAGTTGTCCTCTTTGCACCCTTCCTGACACTTCCTGTCCCCACCTAGGACAGTTGTTTGTCTCACTGACGTTCCATTCAAACCCCAAACATTGGTCAACTTAATGAATGCTTCTGCCAGGAGGGAGCCAACCTCTCACATCCATTTTCACACTTACACAAGCTCTGTGTCATACAAGTGTTGTGCTTTAAACACATACAGAAAATCCATATGCACCTCAACCTTCTCCTTTTACTTGCTTTTCACACTTTCTTTTTTACTTCAACGATGAGTACTCTTTCGCTTCCTATACCTACAATAGTTGTGCATTAAACTACAATCAAAAGTGTGTTGAAACACACAATAGAAAAATAAATAGCAAAACTAAGAAATCCGAGTTTAGGAAAAAATAGCTTCAATAATTTTATAAGCCTTTTCTTGTACACTAAAATGTGTACACATAATTCTTCTTGCCTTAAAATACCCTCAAATATCTAGACACTACAAATTTTCAAAAAAGCCATGACTATTATCTCAATATGTCTATTAAAACAGCTAATTTCTGTTTAAAGGCATTGCTCTGCAGAAACAGCATCAACATCCTGCCTGGTCCTACAGTTAATCTGGTCTGTCATCATGCATGGAGCACTTGGGGCTTCTGAAAAACTTCAGATGTTTTCATCTAGGTCTCGTTTACTGCTTTTTATAGTTTAATTTATTCCACAGAAAAAGAGAATTATTGTAGAGATTGCTCAGACTCTTTACTGGTTAATGTTGTACATTTGCTTGCTTTCTCGTTTCTGCTTTGAACATCTTGACAAATCCAATTTATTTTTCTATTCCCAGCTTCAAAATCATTTTCACTTGTCATGTTTCTATGTTCTACAGATTCACTTGTGTTCCTACTCTCGAGAGCACCACTTCATAACCATTAATACAGATCTTTATCTGCCCCACCACCTACTGTCTATGTCAGAGAGAGTTGCTTGTTTATATTTTCAGTCGAGGGCCATGAGGGCATTCATAACCAACTATCCATGACTAATGAAGCCATGAACCTAGAGGAGAACCTACTGCTTCTTCTCTCTACTCTCTTATACAAGTAAAATTTCTAATTGCATTCTACTTATTTTTATACCCATAGATAATTATAGCTCTTAACCTGCATCAATGAAGCTTCTTTTGAAACACATGGAGACAACTATAGAAAGCCACAATTGATTAAAAATGCAGAGAAAAACTTGCCATGGGCACACAACTTCAATTGATACAACTACAAACTACAATAGAATCTACACACATAAGAAAGGGACAGAAATGTTATAAGAGCCGTAGGACTAGGATGTCTGCTGAGAGACAGTCTTACATATAGGACAGAAATCTCAACAATACAGTAGACTATAAAAAGAAAAACAAGAAATCATGGTAGCAATTGACATGCCAACATGGATGAAAGAACACTCAACAGGTAAAGAGTATAGGCAATTAATGACAATGGACAGACAATGTCTATCCTAAGGGCAAATAAGTGGTCAGTTCTAAAAAAATAAACACAGAAGCAACATTAAATAGGCTCAACTCAAGTGGCTGCATATATATATATTTTTTACTGATATATATTAATAATAATTAAAGAAAATGTTACAAGTTGTAGAATGGGACAACCTCGGCGAAACAAATTCCCACCACTTCTTGGCTGAATCCATTCATCTGTTCTCCAGAGATAAAAGAAACCATCAATAGGAAAAGCATTGTACTAACTCATGCTTTGCAATCAATGTGCAATACTTATTATCAACCTCAGTGATGGCAGTGATGAGGATGATGACGATAAAGGTGATCAATGAATACCTGTTCAGTAACAAGATGATTTTGTAAGATTAATTCATTACTGCTAAATCTTGTTTGCTTGGAACCATGTAAGCCATGTTCTATGTGACTTGCTTAAAGCCGACTCTTGTTACACAATTAGTGACTGTCATCACCAAAACCTGTACTGTATCTGGTATTTCTAAAAAAAAAAAAAAAAAAAAAAAAAAAAAAAAAAAAAAAAAAAAAA